TTTACGTAATCTTAGGGCTGATTCACAGCCTTGCCATGTTCTGAAAATTTTCAGCGAGGGATGATGAAACATCATGTAAACGTTTTATACGCATGTTTTAATGTATGATTGCATCAAAAATTGGAACGTTCTGAAATCTTTGTTTGGAAGGGATGAATTGTATTTATACCCATTCAAGTCATGTTTACAATCACTGATAAAGTAAAACTGTAAGAAATACGTTGTGATACATAATTCAAACAGTAAGAATGGATTTATCAAGAGTCAATAAAATTGCCAAGTGTGAGACATACTTACCAACCAAGAAGATGGATACATTAAAATCCTCTAAAACGTACAAAATTACTGGTCTAAAAGAACTTGAAACTGTGTATCGAACAAAAGTTGTGGCAACAGTTAAAAATAGCTAGATGATATTTCTACCTCCAAGAACGGTGCAAATTTTGGAAAATCATAAAGAATTTTAAAAATTGGTTGAGTTGGCCGCTGACAACAGATTATCATTGTTGTATCATGGTGGAGCTAACAATACTTTTGAATTCATAGTCGATGATGAAATCTAATCTAAAATTTTACATATCGATATAGTGGATACAATCGATTAAATGTAAATCTTACGATAATCACAAAAATAATGAATATAATGAATAAAAAAAAAAATTTGAAATTATTGTTCTTATGATTAAAATATTTCCACTCTCTACATTTCAAGAAAATCGTTATTTAATATAAGTTATATTTGGTAATTGATATTCTCGAACTTTCAAAAAATTTTTTTGGATTATGGCACTCATTACAAGGTCATCCAATTCCTATATAAATCTTTTTAAACACGCTTCTCTATCATTCGTAATTCTGAAGTTTATCTAGTATAGTCAAAAATGAGTGCACCGAACTATTATTCTGATTTAATTAAAATGATGAAGGAGGCTTATGCTTGCAACATAACATGAAAAATTCGTAAATCATTTGGTCGTTGGAGGAAGCCGTCAATCAACAGAACAATTGATTCGGTGGGAAGATTTAGAAAATGTTTTCAGGAATCGAATTCGCACTAGTGTTGTCATTAACTGGCAACATTTAGAGTTACGAGACTTTTTATTCGACGCTGAAAAGCTGATTACCGAAAAGTTGACAAATATAGTGACAAGGGAGGGAAATTTAAAAGTGAATTTTGTCCTTGCTTGTAAATCTAGTAATCAAACAAATAATAGAACAGCTGTAGAAATTAAGTACTTTAATTTAAAAAATGAAGCAATTTTGCCGTCAACAGACATAAAAAAACATTGTCTAAAAAATGTTGTTGACAAACTACTAACAAAAGTCAAGGATTTTCAAGAACGAGATTCTGGTTGGTCACTTGTAGAAATCGAATATCTGCAAGTCAATATTAATCGTTATTAACCTCTATCAGCTGGACAATCTACATTTATACCTCTACCAAAATTTATACAACAAAAAAAAGCAGTACTAAATATTAAAAACAACGATCAATGTTGTTTCTTTTGGGCTGTTACTGCAGCTCTTTATTCTGTTTTTGTAAATTCAACAAGAACAACAAGTTCATATCCTGATTACAAAAGTGTACTAAAATGTAAGGGTATCAACTGTCCCACAACCTTACATGATGTTCCAAAATTTGAAAAACTCAACGATTTAGCAATAAATGTGTATGGTTTAGATGACTGTACGTATGGTTTAGATAATAATTGTGAAATTATTCCGTTATATTTAAGTAAATATTATAAAGTAGATGAGCCATGTATTCACCTGTTAATGGTACAAAGGAGAGTAGAAGTGGGTGATAAAAATAATAATATTAATCCAGTTTTTCATTTTTGTCTGATAAAGGATCTTTCAAGATTAGTTGGAAATCAAATTTCTAAAAATGCACACAAACTATTCTCATGTGATAGATGTTTAAATTACTTTAAGATAGAAAAATCATATAAAAATCATCAAAAAGATTGTATCAATATGAATGATACGCGAATTTTACTTCTGGAAAAATGTGTTAAAATAAAATTTAGAAATTTTCATTTTAAAGAGCCTGTGCCATTTGCTATCTATGCCGATCTTGAGAGTATTCTTGAACCTGATAATGAAGGTAATCAAAAGCATATTACATGTAGTGTAGCCTATTATATGCACTGTACATATGACAATTCAAAATGTCGATTTAATCTTAAACGTGACGTTAATTGTATAAACTGGTTCATGACTGAGTTGAAAAAAATAGCTGAAACTGTCAAAACTTACCCAGAAAACGTAGTCGGGTAGGGCGGGGCTAGTTGAGCATAGAAGCAAGTTGGGCAATTAAAATATCTCTTAAACTATTCACCGTATGCATAAACATCTTATAGCGAAGTCGTGGGAGGGGTAATAATCAAGCCATCGCTAGTGGCAGCTGGATGAGCGAGTAAAGCGCCTGTGCGTTTTGTTTATTTTGTGACCAAAAAGTAAACACGTCGCTTATCGCAAGATTTCATCTGAATCAGTCTATTGTTATTTGTTTTCAACCAGGTAAATGTTATTCTTCCGGAGAACTATTGTAGTTTTGATATGTGGAGTTATTTTGGGTATAAGTCTTACAATTTTTTTATAACCTCGCTTTTGTTTTAAAATTCCGGGTTGGGGTTAGTTGCTGTTACGTCCTGACGAACTTCACTTAGATTTAAGTAAAGAAAATAAAAATACTATTACATCTACAACTTTAAACAGATAGGTTACAACCACCACCAAGTCCAACGCACATGTACGTGCAGCAGGCGAAAGCTAATGCGCACGCGCTTGGACTTAGTGTCTAGCAATTTAATCTTATAATTTTAAGTATAATCAAATTGATTCCCTGACAACCCAGGGATCTTTTTAGTAAAAATTAATCATGCCATTAAGGTAGAATTTATTGTTTTTATAAAATTTTTACGCAATTTGTAGTTTTCAAATAAAATAGGATTAAGGTTGCCGAGCGGCAAGGTCACCCGTCACCGCTAGCGCGGCGGGATGGACGGGGGCCTTGAGGCCGGCAGAGTGGGGCGCACGGCTAACAATACCTTCTCGCGTTTATGCTCTCCTAATACCTCATGAAGAGGAGAGCGACTTTAATTATTAAACAAATCCATAAATATTAAATATTTACCTGCCGATTTTTGGCAGGTATGTTCCTCATAAGCGTCCGTATCACATAGGACCCCAAAAATCCCCTAATTTTTACATTTTTTTTATTTTCACATAGGAATACGTAAATGAAGTGTGTGTATGTCAACACACACACACGTCCACCAACCGATGCGCGTTCCCACGCAGCGTCAGGCAAAAGTTTAAACAAAGTGAGATGTGGATTTGTTAACCGGACGTTCCCAAGACTATATTCTAAGTAATTAGTGATAAGCAGTATTAATGTAACAAACTAATATTTTGTTACAAATAATTAAAAACGCAAAGAACCGCGTTATTTTCGGCGTTAAAAATGCTAATAGTTAAGAAACCTCATAAAATAAGTCAGGTAGCCGCGGCAGCACACCTGTATCTGTACCACAGCTCCTGAAAATTCATGAACACCTGAAAATAATGTATCATAAAGAAAACAATTTGATCTTCAAGAAAAATATCAAATGTGCGGGAAGAAAGCCGACGTCAGCGATAAGGCCCAGAAGGCTCGACGTTGTCAAATCTGCCCGAAAAGTCCTGACGTTGCACCTGTATCACCATGGATACAGCAACGTCGAGCACGGAGCTCCCGAGCCGCCGTCGTCGCTGACGTGATCTTTCTCCTCAGTTGATCTGCAAATCTCAAAGAGTGAACTTGTCACTCCTTGTGAGGTATATAAATTCATTATAATAAAACCCTCAAAACTATCTGTCAGTCTTTTTCTTTACTACTCCCTATACTCTACCTCCTCTACACCCACATGATTGAGGCGCAGTTTGTATAACCCGTGCAGTCATGCCTACATTTCTACACGCTACGTTTCTGAGTTTGTTGTTCTGAGGCGCAGTTTGTATAACGCGTGCAAACAACATTCCAGAGCGGAGACGTTCCTTTTTTCCCCCATTTCCCTAGACTCGATTTGTTTGAATTTATTTATTTCACAAGTGCGCGAATTTTTACCTTTCGACGTTTTGTTTGAATTGGATCCTCTAGAATAGTTCGAGCGAACACTATTTGTAGTCAAGTGAACCCTCAGGTTGGATATTTTTGGATTACTGTTGTGAAATTTTAAGTTAAAGTGAACTGTGAGAACCATGTGTGCATGCCCTCATGGCTAAATCCAGAAGGCGAGGCATCAGAGCGGGCTGGAGGGTGCAGATGAGGAGGATCATTAAGGACCACCACAGGGGACGCACCCATCTATCCTCGATTTTCCAGGAGGAGACACCAAAGCCCACTTTACCCACCGGCAGAGGAATCACCATCCTGAGTGACGAGGTGTTGCTGGATTTTAAAGTGATTCTGGTGATCCCTAAAAACTTCCAATAACTACCCAGCCATTTATCCCCAGTGACATTTTTGCGGGGTGGACCGACTAATTTCGTTGACCTTTTCTTTTTGGAGTTTTTTTTGTGTTGTTTGTGTGTACATCATTTTCTCAACCATGAGTAATCCAGCAGCCCCAACGGTGAGTATTTAATTTCTTTCCCTTTTCTTTTCGTTTTTTTTTTCCTTTTTTTTATTATATTTTCCATTCGTTTATCTATTCATCTAATATTCCCCACTCGGGTAAATTTTTCGGTTTCCCCTATTTAAATTTTCGCGGTTCTCAACGCGTTAAGGTGAGAGCGCTGTATTATCGGCAGCTTCACAACCGTTAAGCGTGTTTACATGGGAATTAATTTGATAAACTGACTCCCTGTTTACCTATCGTTTGTAAAAGCTCCCTAAACTTGGAAATGTCATTTAATTTCAGGATAATTAGTCAGGACGTAACAGTTGCTATAGTTGCTCAACTTACCCCACGATTCAAACAACTAAAGTAATGAATGTTTTATTTTTTGTCCGGATGCGGATTTACAAGAGTAAGACTACAAGATGTTCTTATGCTACTGAAGATTTAAAAAATGCTGCGAGGGCTGTAAACGATGGAGGAAAAAGTGTTAATGCCGCTGCTAACCAATTCGGTATCAAACGGATGACTTTGACAAGATTTTTGAAGAAATTAAATGAAGGTGGTGATTTATCCATGGGCTATGCAACACTGAGGCAAGTATTTTCTTCTACACAGGAAGACTCACTGAAAAAATACTTGCTACAAATGGCATCAATCTTTTATGGATATTCTCCAAAAGACGTCCGTCGCCTTGCCTATGAATGTGCTGCTAAATTTGGCATTAAAATTCCACCCAGCTGGGCTGCAAATAAGATGGCCGGAAAAGAATGGCTTACGATGTTTTTAAAACGTAACCCCGAGCTATCCATACGAAAACCAGAACCCACTAGCCTTGGTAGGTCAACATCATTTAATGCGCATCATGTTAAAGTTTTTTTTTGAGAAATTAGCGGAAGTAATAGATAGATATGGATTTACTGAGGCAGACATTTGGAATGTAGATGAGACAGGTGTATCCACTGTGCTGAAGCCAAATAAAATTGTAGCAGCCAAAGGTAAGCGCAACGTCGGCGCAAGGACTTCTGGATAACGAAGGACTAACGTTACAGTAGTAACTGCTGTATCTGCTTTTGGAAATGCTGTACCTCCTATGTTTGGATTTCCAAGAAAACAGTTTAGGACACACTTTCTTAACGGTGGTCGCCCTGAATGTATAGGAGCAGGCAATGCTAGTGGATGGGTTACAGATGAAGAATTCTATCAGTTTATGCAACATCTTATAAAATATGTGAAACCATCCATTGAGCACCCTGTTCTATTAGTGCTGGATAATCACTCCTCTCACTTGAACGTAAAGACCCTAACTTTGGCAAAAAAGAACGGAGTTGTGATGTTGTCCTTTCCACCGCATTGTAGCCACAAATTACAACCGTTAGATGTGTCAGTCTTTGGACCGTTCAAAAAATATTGCGCTGCTGCTCAAGATGTATGGCTACGTAACAACCCGGGGAAAACCATTATAATCTATGATATACCAAAAATAGTGGCTGATTCGTTGCCGTTTGCTCAGACAAATATAAATATTGTTAACGGTTTCCGAAAGACAGGCATCTTCCCGTATAATACAAACATTTTGGGTGAGGATGAGTTTTCACCGTCATTTGTAACCGATCGACCTGAACCAGAAACTATCGAGCCGGAAAAAAATCATCCAAAGCAAGCTATGATGTCCAGCACTGAACCTAATTCCATTCTTTCTGCCTCTACCAGTCAAGCTGAACCCGAACCTGGCCCAAGCAACAAAGAAAACGAGATGTTCAACGTTCGACCAATACAAGTATTTTTCTCGGAAATTGTACGACTCAAAAGGCTGGCCCTAGAAAAGCAGTTGAAATAACAAAAGAAAGAGGAAAGCTGCAATTTTAACATACACTCCCGAAGAAAAACGCTTTAGAAGAACAGCAAAATAAAACCACCAAAAAAAGTTAAGAAGCCAAAGAAGAACATCGATAAGAAAAGGAAGAAGGGTGTCTGTAAAAAAATAATCATCACAGTCAAGTGATGAAAGCGATGATGATAATTGTTCCTGTCTGATTTGTTGCAAAGGCTATGCTGAAAGTTTACCAGGAGAAAATTGGATCCAGTGTCGAGCTTGCAGGGAATGGGCACATACATATTGTGTTCCAAGTGCTGGTCTTATTTTCGTTTGTGTCAATTGCAACAGTGACAACAACGATTAAGATATTCATGTCCGATTTTGAAGAAAAAGACTGAATTCCTGAAGTCAGTCTGAAGATACGCTGATGTTTTGTTTATTATATTTTCAGATAATTACTCAAAGAAAAATACTTTATATTTCGTTGTTCTGTCACTAAGACTATATAAACTTACTTTGACAATGATCATTAAGTTCCAAAGATCTAATTAATATTTTTTTAAGATATAAGCTAAATGAGTGATAATAAAAACATTTAAGTTTGTTTTTAAATATGAAGACTGAATCTAATGGTGAAGTTAATCTTAAGATACGTTAATGTTATGTTGATTTTAATTTTGCTTAACTGTTCAAAGAAAATAACTTGTCTTGTTGTTCCGTCACCAAAAGACGATAAATGAAGAGCTGATTGTCAAACACATATTTTACTTCATATCTAGTCAACATTGAACTCATGGTTTGGTCAGACATTCTTAGTAATCAACTTGCCCCATACCCTTGCTCAGCTTACCTCACCAATGGGGCACATTGAGCATACTTGACTTCCTGTATATAAATAGCTGTAGCTCTTAAATTCGATTTCTTACAGAAAAATTACTACGGACATTTTTGCTAAATTACGATAAGTTACGAATCCATCAAGCCACTTAACAACTCATTGAGACTTATCATTGAGAAGCTATATCCGTTCAAGTGAAAATTTGCTCAACTAGCCCCGCCCTACCCTACTTATGAGCTTGATCTGTTACATTACTACACTGCACCTGGATTAGCTTTTGATGCTATGTTGAAATATACGGAAATTGAACTTGAACTCTTGGACAATGTGGAAATGCTTAATTTCGTAGAAAAAGGTATTAGAGAAGGAGTGGCACAGTGTTTAAATAGATATGCAAAAGCAAATAACCCGTATATGTGTAATGATTATAACCCGAATGAAAATATATCATATCTCATGTATTTTGATGTAAATAATTTGTATGGAGCAGCAATAAGTGAGTACCTACCGACTGAATCATTTAAATGGGTGAAAGATGACATCAATATTTCTAATATCTGTGAAAGAATTAAAAATATCTCCATTGATTCTCTAGTTGGTTACATTTTTGAGGTTGATTTAGAGTATCCAAAAATCTTACACGAGCACCATAAAGATTTGCCATTGTGTCCTGAACACCGTAAACCTCCAAACAGCAATAGCAGCAAACTTATGACGACATTATTACCTAAACTTGAATATGTGATTCACTACAGAAATTTAAAACAATGTCTCGATTTAGGAATGATTGTAACCAAAATACATGGGATCCTTAAATTTAATCAATCACCATGGATGAAGGAGTATGTAGATCTGAATACAGATTCTCGAAAAAAATCTAAAAATGATTTTGAAAAGAATTTCTATGAATTGATAAATAATGCAGTTCACGGAAAAACAATAGAAAACGTTCGGGCGTATAAAGATGTAAAGTTTGTAACACAGTGGGAAGGTTGGTATGGTGCAAAAAATCTCATTGCTTCTCCAAAATTCCACAATAGTATAATTTTTGACAATGACATGGTAATAATAGAAATGGAACGAAAAAATATATATTTCAATAAGCCGATATACGTAGGATTTGTAGTTTTAGATCCTTAAAAAATGTTTATTTATGACTTCCATTACAATTTAATTAAGAGACAATTCACAGACAATCAGGTGAAATTATTATACACAGATACAGATAGTTTAATTTATCAATTCCTTAATGCTGATATTTATGATTGCATCAAAGATAATATACATAAATTTGACACCTCAGACTATCCACCAAATAACCGTTTTTATATTCCATTAGTTAATAAAAAAATTGTAGGCCTTATGAAAGATGAAAATAAAGGTAAAATAATGACGGAATTCATTGGTCTAAAAGCAAAAATGTACACATTTAAAGTTCAAAATAAAAAAGACAAATATAGTAAAGCAAAGGGTGTCAAAACTGCAACAAAAAAATCTATAAAATTTGATGATTACAAAAAATGCTTACTTAATCATGAAAAATTATGTAAAACGGAATATCATACAGTCAGCAAGAAACATGAAGTACATACAATTAGTAGACAAAAATTAGCATTAAGTTGGGAAGACAATAAAAGAGTTCTTTTAACATAAACAACTGATACACTTTCTTGGGGTTATAATTTATATCAAAAAGTGTAAATAAATTATTTTAAATATGAGGTTTATGTTAAAAAAAAAAAAAAATTTGTAAGAAAAAAAATTTATTCAATAAAAAAAGAAATATCATAAATTATTTACATTAGTTTGTATTGAACTCATCTTCTACAAATAATATGACAAAATCATCTTCATTCTTATTGGTCTTATTTTTTTTTAATTTTCTTTTAACATTCGTTTATTAATTTTATCAAGACGTTTAATTCATTTTTTTTTCTCTTTTGATTTGTTGTTGTTCTTCATGAGTTAAAGGTATCCATTGAATATTAGCAGCTTCATCTTTTGTATAACATGATAATTTTTGAGCATCACTATACATATTGTCAGCCATTGTTTCTGGCTCTTCAGCTAAAGACATTTTGGCAGTTATTGTTTCAAACTCATCAGTTAGAGACATTATAAATCTTCTATGTACATCCAGCTATTGTGTGTTTTATCGAATCCTAACCACTTGACAAAAGCTTGATTACCACGTTTTTTCAGAACTTTTTCTATCAAACAAATATCAAGGTATTAAACCTTAGTTAATTCTTCTTGATAAAAACCTCCTTTAATCGGTTGATCTTGATAGTCGACAAGCTTGTAGGTTACTGGATCAGTGTTCAATACTTGACGTACATTAAAGATTTCAGTTATCCAATTAGGGGTGTATCCTTTCTCAAAGACATGCTTATATTTACTTATGCGTACTTTGTCCCTAACCTTAAATTTAGTCTTTTTCATTTTTTGTTGAACTTCAAGTTTATTATTGTAGATAGTATGACGTAATTGTTTTTCATTAGCTGAAGTAACATCAATCAGTTTCATTTTGATGGTTCAATGTTTGCTATTCTTATATGATGTCATCAATTTTGGTAAGATGTTCATCTATTTGCAATTACCTTGCAACGTAAATTGTTTTTACATTTGACTTTTTAACGTGCGATTAAATCGTTCACATATAGATGCCTTAAGATTACTAAATGTGGAATACATTTTGATATTATATTGTTTCATAAGTGCTTCGAATTCTTTATTGTAAAATTCTTTTCCTCTATCAACATGCAAAAATTTTGGCACTTTTTTTATGATAGAATTGATTTCATTGTGTTGAGAAAATCTCAACTTCTGAATTAACCTAACCGTTTAAGAATAGGGATGATTGTGCCGGAACAGAGCAAACGGAAGTCAGGATTTATTAACAAAAGTAAAATATCTTTATTTTCAGCACTAACAGGTACACTAAATACACTGACAAACTTGAGTTGTTCACTAGGAAGACTGAATGTCGCTCAAAATCACTGAATGTCTAATTTTAATTACTGAATGTGAATTGAATGTCTAAAAAATACTCAACTTGGTGTGTTCAGTATTATTGACCTCCCACACGAGCTCAGCACGCTTCTCAAGTTGAGCAAGAATATGATTGTGCACGTGGCGTTAGCCTATCAATGCAATGCAAAATGAATTTAATGAAATGTCTTGAATTTACAATGAAATATCGTGAAATATTACTTGATTATAGATTTAGAGTAAAGCCTGAATTTTTCTGATGATTTACAATAGCACTAGTACTGATGATTGACTCAAACTTGAGATTTGTTAATAATGAATAAGAATGGCGTGTACACGTGAACGAGAACAGTGAAAGAATGGCGACAGGAACTTCATTAGTCAACAGAGACACTCAAAAGTAGCCAAATGGGTGACTAGATAAAGAATGGTTATTAGGTCGATTGGTTATCGACCCAGTCCCAAGATGGCCGCCGAAGTTCCTGTCAGCTGGCAAATTCAAATTGAGAATTAATTAATTCTCAACACATTGCATGAGCTACATCTTCACCATTTTTAGATTTTGTGGGCACAACCCGAGCGTATTGTGAAAAAATATCAATAACAGTCAATAAATACTGATGATCTTTATTATAAGATTTATATGCTGTCATGTCAACTAGATCAGCTTGCCAAGTTTCATCAAGCCCACGTATATCAACATGTCGTCGTTGATAATTTCTTCTAACCGGTCTATGCAGCTCTTCAGTTATTATTTTTTTCTCCTTGTTCATGATGCTGCTGATCAAGATATTTCCGAATATTTTCTTCCAATTGTTTAATACTTTCAGCTTGTTTACGATTTGCTTTTTTCAGTAAACGTAATCGATCTGACTCATGCAGTTCGATTGTTTCATTCAATTTCTCTTTAGACGTTTACGATGTTCTTGTGATGATTCAATATGTTGCTCTACTTGAACATTAATGATTTTGATTCTTTCTCTATTTTTTTCAACAATTCTTCTTGAATTTGCTACAGTTTCGCGTAACAGACGTAATTCTATTTCAATAAATTTTTTTAAAATGGTAATTTTTTTTTCAATTACTTCTAATGATGTTGCATCATTCAAATCTACTGGTTCAGCGAGATTATACAATCTCTTATTATCCATGTCAAACGGTTGATCCACAGTTAATTTGAATCCTTCACCAG